TTTTTTTTTAATACCATTGATAAAATTTAAACTCCTAATTAATTATACCTAAATATTTAAAATTTAGAGAACAAACCATTTGTTTGAAGTGCATGTTCTTTCTTTTGTCTTTTTATGCTAGGACTAGCTATGAATTAATACATCCCTTAGGCTAGTAGTTCATAATTTTGCATTGTCGGAGCCAGCTAAGGAGCTAGACTTATTGTCACTTTTTCAATTTACAATTTTGCCTTCCTAACCCGACGGTGGACACATTCTGCCAATTGCCGAACGTGGCTTGGCCATTTTCTCCAAATAGTGACATTTTATTTTCATTTGACAGAAAAGTACCACGGAAGAACCAAAAACATAAATCTTAGCATTTTCCTAACGAACGGGACCCCACAAATTATTCCCTAGTTTTTGGAAAACTTACAACTAAGTCCTGCACTCCAATGTCTCAACAATGACAATTGAGTCCAATATATTTTTGAAAAAAAAAATATTTAAGGCAAATCAATCCCCAACTCTCGATTTATAGAAATCAAACCTACCATGCTAATTTTTTCTAAAAAAAGCCAAAAAAATGTGTTAACATAAGGCAAAATAATATTTTAATGGTCACATGTCACTCATGACTTTTAGGTGCTCTTACTCTTTTGTTTTTGTTTTTATTTTTTTTAAATTAGGAACTTTTTATTTTTATTAAAATAAAATTATTAATTAAAATAATCAAAATAATATTATTTAAAAATTTATATAACCATAACATCTTGATGCATAGACATAACTCTGCCCTCTACTCTCTAGTACTGTTTTGGAGTTTTTTTTTGAGCTGCTGTTTTTGGGATGGATTTGACACCTGGGTATGCCTGGTGTAAAGTATGTGTTTTGTAATCCTCGTCTTTTGAATGAAAATGAACTTACCAGTTCCTAAAAAATAAACTTCAATTCCTCAGTAACAGAAGCTTTGGTGGCATTTATATATGGGATCTCTACATGCTATTGTTCCTAGGTTTTTCAAAAGCTCTAGGGACCTCATCATCATGCAACCAGCTATTATAGAAACATCGTTACAAATGGATAATCCCATATATAAACTTGAAGTGGATAATCCCATATATATAGGTTTTTCACGGCGTTTGTTGTGACCCAGAGGGTAAATGGATTTTTGGTTTCACACAACAACTTGGAGTGAGTTCTGTCATACGTGCAGAATTATTTTCAATTTAAAGAGGTCTACAAATAGCTTGGGATAAAGGATTTAGATGAGTCATCATTGAGATAGATTCTTTGCTCGCAAAACAAAAGTTATTTGTTGAGAAGGTTATAAGCAGCATGTTGAATTGGTTATTAAACAAGTGCAGAGACTACATGAATAAAGAGTGACGATGTGAGTTGTGCTGATTACACGGCTTCCAATTTATACCATTTGGAGAAAGGCCTTCAAATATTCGAGGAACCTCCTGATCAAGTATATGAACATTTTAAAAATGATTTAATAGGAGGGTGTTGGCTTAGAACCTCTAGATTAATCAATGTTTAAACACTGCTCAATGTAAAAAAAGACAAAAAAAGGAAGAAACAACGTTACAAATGGGTAGTCCCAATTTGGGAAATTGTATACGCGTTGTTGTGTAATGTCCAGTTGTTACCAACAAACTACATTAATTCTTCATAATCACTGAAACGTTAGGTGCAGAGTCGTTTTTTCATTTTTCCCAGCGTGGCGTCGGGCCCCAAGAATAATGGACACGTTATTAAAAGTTTGAAAAAATTTAATTTTTTTATTGACTTAGCTGCCACCTGAATTTCTATTGAGGAAAGAATAAAAGGATAAAAAATATGTAGAAAATTGTTTAGAAACCAGAAGGAGTACAACAGGGCAAGTTCAAGCAGTAAATTTAGCATCTAACCATCCAAAA